ACACACTGAGGTAGGCTGTCCAGAGGCGGAACGCTCAGGTCTGTGTCTGCAGGCGGCTGCTCCGGTGGCTGGGTGTCCTCACCGTCAGCCAGTGCTCCTATGGGAGGCACATACTCACGGATTTCACCCGGCTCTAGAGGGTTAGGACCACAGGGATCGTGCTCTGTGCAGCATAAACGTCCATCCAGCTTGGAGATGAAGAGCATGCCTTCCCGGTGCTGCTTGCAGAAGGACCTGGGGCACATCTCGCAGAAGGAAGCTGCTTCCTTACCGCACATATCACACTGATGCCACGGGCACTCCCATTTTCCTGCAGCACAGAAACAGGAGAAAAGACACACTATACTTTAGAAGTGGTACAAGGGGAAGAGACAAAGCCTGCTGCAAAGGGAGGTCAAGGGGAGCGGAGACACCCCTGTAATACTCCCATGCCATTCTACATGTCCCTCAGTTTCTGCCACAGCTCCAGGCTTGACAGGCAGTTAACAGGAGCCTACACCCTCAGAAGCAACAAGGGCGATGATAATCATGACAAACACAAGCCATGCCAGGTCAGACCAAAAGCCCATCTGGCTCCAGCACAACACTAACCAACGTGGGCGCCCAGAAAAGAGCAGACACCCCCACTTGCACATCTCTGCGACTCTGATTTCCACAGACAGCAACAGTGGTATCTGTGTATAATACACCCAATGGACTTTTTGAGTAGCTGAGTCAGGTTCATCTAAGACACTGTTAATTCTGGGCCAATAACCTCCCTTCCTGTTTATCAGAAAGAAGAAGTGTGAGGGCAGTGGTCACAAGGCAGTAAGTTTCTGTTGTCTCTGTACCCAAAGCATCTTCCTTACTCTCAGTGTATAGCCATGATAAAAGTATTGCTTAACACAAAGCCAAGCTGTTCCCTGAAGAGCTCCATGTCCATGCTGAATCTGTTCACCATCAGTATCAACACCATCACAGAGGAAAAATCCAACATCACACTTCAGAAATGGCTTTTTTCACTTATAGATGACCTCACTGGTTCAGCCCCCTGCTCCCCCAGTCAAGGTTCCTGCCGTCTCTACCAAATACTTCTCACCAGTTCCTGGACACAAGGACCAGTGAGACCATTTGCACCCAGAATACAAATTGCAGAGTTCCTGACTTCTCACCGTAGGACCAGCACTGCCGCCTTTCCAAATATGCCTCCCGCTGCCACACTCCCCCCAGCACCCTACACCCCCATGGCGCCCCCCAGCTCCCTGCCTTGCTGTGGAGAGCAGCCCCCCACAGAGCAGCCCTCACACAGGCCACACAAGTGCTGATGAAGGGCAGCCACGGACACCAGCCCAGCCAGAGCACTTCCCAGCCTCCCTGCACCAAGCCCACAAATCTGTGGCTTTGGCTACCAGCTCTTCTCCAGGGAGGCTGGAGAAGAGCACAACTGCAGCACAGCACTGAGCAGCTGTGGGCGTTTCTCCATGCACTTGTGCAACACCAGCTTTCCACTCCCCTCTCTCATGCTGCTTTTCCCCTGGGGTTGATGATAACACATAGCATGTTTTTCCCCTCCTTTGAAGCCAGTCCAAGGCTTCTGTTCCAGTCTCAGAACACGCACACCGCTTTTCTGTGTCTTTTCCAGTTTTTCAGCATCCTTTTCAGAGTGAAGATGTTTACACGTGGTTTTTCCCTTCCAGGCTCACAGTGCTGCAACACAGGCTGTTGCTGCTCCCCCCAGCACCATCAGCAACCCAGAGCGCCATGCTCAACACTCACTTTAGTCACTGGAAAGACTCTGGGACTATTATTATAGAGGTCATTTGTACAGAAGGCAAATAAAATAAGTCAAAACCTGCCAGTATGTTGCAGGAAGGATAAATCCTATCAAACCACTCTAATGGTCTTTGACAGGATAAAAGGCCTAATGAATAAGCAGCCTCTCCAGAGACAGCCCAAAGCTCTCGGAAGTAAGATCACACAATTACTAACATGCAAACCAGCAGGAAATTCCAATTACTCGACAGCAATGCCCATGGCAGAGGAAACATTTGAAGTAAAAAGTGCTGAACCTTTCATGTCCTGCATGATACTCTAAGGAGAGGGCTATGAAAATAACAACCTACATATAAAAAGCATAAAATCGCTACAACTGACTGAAAATCATTCTCAAAAAACAGCTATTAATGGTCTTCTGGCAAAGCAAAGAGGCGTTCTCAGTGACATCCTTCAGGAGTCTATTTTAGTCTGTATTTTAATTTAAATTTCTGGAAGCAGAACAGCAGATACTCTTACAGAAATGGATAGATAACAACAAGCCTGTGAGGGACTGCAAAAACCTGGTTAGACAGGCTCAGAATCTAAACTGGACAGATGCTCTTGCACCAACAAGCTGCAATCAAAGAAAGACCAGTGCAAAGCAGGACAGCAGGAGGAAGCAATAAAGTAAGAATGCGAAAAGGATCAAAACGAGGATTCAAGGATGACAGGGGAAATCACAAATGTCACATAAACGTTATTTTTGCAAAACAAGTAAAATCTCATTTCCTAAGAAATTCTATGTAAAACACAAAACATAATTATTCTCTTCTGTTGGTGTTAGCAAGGCCTTGGCTGCAATACTGTTAAAATACTCTTGTTACCACAGTTTTAAAAATGTGTAGGCAACTGGGACGCAGTCCAGAGCAGACCCAGGATAATAATTTTAGAAAGTAAAAGCTTCAAGGAGAGGCTGTGTTTGTTTAAGCCGGAAAAGGACTAAGGAGACAACAGTTTCCCAGTATGTAAAATAATGGATATCGGGGAGATGGCAACCCTTTTGTTTTTTCAAGTCAGGCTGTTAGGAGAAACTTTTCAAATGGAAAGCAGGGCAACAGACTAAAGGCTGGATTCTCCTTTACTGGAGACTCTAAAGCATGAGAAAACCTGCCAAAATGTTACAGAGCCCTGTCTTAGCACACAAAAACAGATAGAAAGGAGATATTCAGGACTCCCTCACTCCGAATAATTTTCCATAGGAACGACCTGCACTCCTGTTGGCTTTCACATTGCTCTGTTACAGCATTTGTTCAATGAGCAGTCCAAGCTCTTCTGTAGAAATGCCCTATTCTCCACAAAACTTACATACATGCACATAATTTCTCTCATTTACAAAATATGCTACTAGACCTTCTACACCTTCTGCCAAATTACAGCTAGAGGTGCTGAATGCCCAGTTCTAGCTCCCTGTGGCACGCCGGCAGCCACATTGCCACAGTGACTCTCCCGGCAGTTACCTTCAGAGAGCACTTGGTTCCACGTTTCTCAGCCTGCCCCAATGCACTCAGAAAACACCAGAGTTGCACAGAGAATTACAGTATTAGATCAAAAGATTTACAGCCCCCTAAACAAATTACTTCAGTGCAGCTGCCTCTATTAACCGAATTTATTATCTTCGCAAAAATCCCTAAATTAGGTTTGATGAGTTATTCTACTTAAAAACTTGTCACCTAGTATTGTTGATATTGTTACTATTTAATTCTTCAGTATTGATTTCGTATCAGCTTTTCCATCCTCCTGGCCTGGCAGAAAGAGGCTAACTGGCCTACCAAGACTCAGGTCAAACTTTCTTTCCCTTTCTGAACACTGATTAATACCTGAACACTCATTAAAGATCAAAGGAACAACTTCAGTAATGAAGACAAATTGAAACAACAGAGGAAACATTCCCTCAACCAGCTCCTTTAAGACTTTCAAATGCAAACTAAATCTTTTCCTCCAATAGATGTTACTTTACACCTCCTGAGCTAGAAACAAACTAGAAACTGTTTTATCACTCATGCAGGGAGCTAATTTCTTTCTCTGCACACAGCTACAAGTACTTTTTGAATATTTTTTCTTTTTCTTTCAAATTTATGCCCTCATATCACCACAAACTAGGATATGCTTTGATACCGTTCTCTTCTTTAACTATGAACTCTCAACTCTTCAGACATCTAACAGATTCTTCTCACACTCCCATTTTCCATCAGTGCTTTTCCTCACCATTCAATTCACTCAATTGTCTTCAACTTTGGGAAAACAGCCAATCTGAGGAACCAATATCTCAACTATTGCTGGGACTGCCCTCTGCCAGGCCCCAAGAATGGGGTCAGCTCACAAGCACCAGTTTCTTAGGGAAGGACCAGCTCTCCCTTCAGCAATCAATTCGCTTTTTGCAGTCACAGTGGGGTGTAAACCAGGGTTGTGTTGTGTGGGCCACAAGGTCTGTTCAAGTGAGAAAGATTAAATTTTAAGATGCTGTGAAGTGAGTGCAAGGAGATGAGCAGCACCTGGGACACCTCGAGCCAACACTGTGACCCAAGCAGAGCCCAGCCATGCCGAGCACTGACCTGCAGGTCTCTTGGTCAGGTTGAGGCAGTCCGCGTGGTACACCTTGGGGCAGCCTGGCTTCTTACAAGAAACTAGCTGCCCTCCGTCCCCACAGCTGAAACACTCATCTTCTCGCTCCTTCATCACCTCCGCCTGCGACCTGCGCTTCATCTGTGGCCGTCTCTTTAGCTTCTTGGACTTTTCCTCGGTGAGGTTGGGTTGGCTCTGCGGGGGAGACAATGTCAGTTAATGCGGGTCTCTGCCCCTTCCATCTGTTCCCTTCCTGCTACAGTGGAGACAACTGCAAACCCTGAAAATAAAAATCCCACTGCCAGCCATACCTGAAACTTACGTAGCATCTCTATAGTGCTTCTTAATATTTGGCAACCAATTTACTACAGCAAATATATAATTTATTTTTTTTTAAATTATTTTTAAAGAGCCTGGAAGCACTGCACCAAAGCCTGGTTGAACATAGGATATATACAATCAGCACCAGAAGAATGAGGAGCCAGGGGCTGCCTGGTGTCACCGAGCTTGTACCACCTCTCACAGACTGTTCATGTCCTCAGTCACAGCAGTCGGGCCTCCTTGCCCCCACGACTCATGAGGAGTAGTCTCTCCCAGGCCTTCCTGCACTTTTGACCTTCTCCACTCCTCTCTCCATCTTCAGTCTGAATTTATCTGTGATCTTTAGACCTATTTGTTCTCGTGTCAATGCTGCTCTTTTTCAGCAGAAATTTTTCCCTATCCCTGAAGTAACCACCAGGACACACTCTCCTTCTCACAAACCAAACACTCTCACAGTCTGCACCCTCAGTCTTCCTAATGGCTTTTCTCTGCCCCTGTTGAGTTTATTTCTGCCAAACACAAGTTACAGAATTATACACACCACTTCAGATGACACCTCGCACGCCGTGTACAACGACATCCACACTTCTCTACAAGAACAGGGAACCCCTCCCCAGGCACAGCCTGCATGTGCCTTTGTCACAGCT